CACAAAATCTGTTCCTTCTTTAGCTGTTTTTAATCAATAGCTACACCTTTGGGTAGGAAAATAAATCCATACCTTTGAATAGTGTCATTTCCAACAACAGAGAGGCGCTCAGATGTGTTCTTTTTTTTTAACAAAGGTGTTGTTAAATACCGGCACCATATATATTTGATTCAGTCACTTGAGAAATCCCTAGAGAATGGCTGAGGGTTGTTAGCAGCTGGGTCTATAAATTGTAAACCTTCCCCAGGGCAAAGTGCCACTTGTGATGTTTGTTACTGTTATTTCATATGACACTGACTTAAGCAGGAGCAGGAAACCCTTTCTCCTAGAGCGGAGGTGCAGGCCCGGTCCGATATCACCCACGTGAAAAGGAGCGGCCAGGAGGTGTGGAGAATGAGCGCACCTGCCCGTCTCAGAGGAAAGCTGGCGCTCAGCGCTGCTCATTATCAAGAAGCCAGACACCCCATTTCTTTCTATGTGATATCACCTAGAATTTTTAAATTGGCAACTAATCCAAATTTCTCTGTGTGGGAAGAACAGACTCCACTTGCGAGGCAGATTCAGGCCGCAAGTTCCTACTTTCCCAGCCCTGGTTAACAGCTGCCTCTTGCACCAGACAGCCACTGGCCTGCTTCATCCTGGCTCTTAGCATCCAGCAGAGACTTCAGCAAGCTACTGTAACTACTGCAGACATCGGAACAGACACATACAAGAAAACCCAGCTCTGGAAATGTGATCGCGGGTTTACTGTAAACAGCCACTTACCATCTACATGTGGTACCTTGTGTGGGCTTTATCAAACTCTTCTCATCATATGCCAATTTCTTGTCACCCCTTTACAAAATACAAGCATTATCAATTACTACCAAGAGCACCCCAAATATAAAACAAAAACATCTCAAACACAAATCAAATTTCATTTAAATCAAGAACAAATTATAAGAGACAGATCAGAAATCACTCTAGGCTGGGTGCGGTGGCTCACCCCTGGAATCCCAGCACTTTGGGAAGCTGGTGTGGGAGGATCGCCTGAGCCCAGGAGTTCAAGACCTTCTTGGGCAACATAGCAAGGCCACATCTCTACAAAAAAAAAACAAAAAATTAGCTAGGTGTGTAGGCCCCGCCCAGGAGATCCAGGCTGCAGTGAGCCATGACCGTGCCACTGCACTCCAGCCTGGACTACAGGGTGAGACCCCATCTCAGGAAAAAAAAAAAGAAATCACTCTATTACCCTTATATAATTTTTATCAATCTATGAAAAGAAGGAATCAGTAAAAAAAGATAAACACAAATACTGTTTATTTCCCGTTCTTTAAAATAATATTACCAGAAATTGCCCTCTTTGAATTTCAAAGTTTTCGTGACTTTACTGTGAAAGCCCAACTCTCTTACCTCGCTGATCATATCACACCCGATGCTCCAATAACTCAGGGTATACTTTCAGCTCAACCCTGTAAAAGGCTTGCTAACCTGCACTGATCTGCATTCAATGCAGCTGCCAATGCACGACAAAAAACCATCTGGAGACTCTGCAGCCGTTATTTCCAGCTGTCTGTGACTCCCAGAAGACGCGGGAGTGCCTGGCACCATCGGGCACGCGTCAGCTCAGCAGCTTTCTTACGCCACCAGGCACAGTTGCCCTGAGCTGAAGACGCTTCAGAAAATCGTTTGCAAGTTGCTGTTGCACTGGGATAATTTTAGACAATCTGAGACTTTTACACTAAAAACGTGTTTGGAATTGGTGACCGTACACAGTGCCAGCAGCCTGAACTCCGAGCCAGCCATGGTTGCATTTGACTTCCCTGGGTAGGATGCAGTGCAGGGGGTTGTTATAAGCCTACCACTGGTGTGTCAATGTTTCTATACTGTTTCGTTTTTCTGTCTTGGGAGGGAGGTGTTCTTCTGTGTCTCTGTTAGCCACATCTGGGTGTTTCCATCGTCATTATACGGCCGCTTACCTCTGCGTGGCAACGGACTCGATTTGTGAACAAAAGGACAATGACAAAGGATATGTGCAGTGGCTTCAAAGAGACAAAAGTTTCTTTCTGTCTCATGTAAATACTCTCTAGTGGTAAGCACTCCTGGACTAGAAGTGTACCTCCATGGCTGGGAGGGAGCCTGAAGCCTTGCCTCTTTTTCCATCAATGTCCTTAGCATTCTCCTACAGCAAGGAGGCTGCAGCAGCTCCAGACATCACATTCCAGATCCACCCAGCAGGAAGGGTACAAGGCTGAAGAAAGGCCCTCGCTTTGGAAGGGCCCATCTGGAAAGTCCCATTTGATGCTTTTACCTGCAGAGTCACATGGCTACACCCAGCTACAAGGAGTATCAGGAAATGAAGTTTTTATTCCAGCTGGCCATCTGCTCAGTGATTTTGTTTGTTTGTTTCAGAAGGGTCTAGCTTTGTGGCCCAGGCTGGCGATCAGTGGTGTGATCTCTGCTCACTGCAACCTCCACTTCCTGGGTTCAAGTGGTCCTCCCACCGCAGCCTCCCAAGTAGCAGGAACTATAGGGGTGCACCACCATGCCCAGCTAATATTTTGTAGAGATGGGGGTCTCATCATGTTGCCTGGGCTGGTCTCAAACTCCTGGATCAAGCCGCCTGCCTGCCTCAGCCTCCCGGAGTGTTGGGATTACAGGCGTGAGCCGCCACACCCAGCCCTGTTTTTGTTGTTGTTGTTTGAGTTTTTTGGTTTTTTCTGAAGAACAGGTATTGGAAGACACCATCAGAAGGGTCCTCCACAGCCAGGCCCCACCCACTTTTAGACACAGCCCGTGCTCTGACAAGTCTCATTACTCATGGTTTCTCACGGGAAAAGGATCTAAGGGGTCGCCTCCCCATTCAAGGTCATGATGGCCTGAAGGTCTGTGCCACTGAGGAAGACACAGATAAATGAACTAAGCTCTGAGGGCAATCATGACCAGAATCTGCAGGTAAACCATATCACTATTATTAAGAACATGCCTTTATGTGCGTCGGCTCCAGAAATCCTTACGGCCATCCTCCCAGATAGCACTGTCGGCCCGTTTCCCATGAGGAATCAGGAGCCCCGAAGATGACGCTGGCCCAGGTTTCACAGCTAGGCGTGAGAAGAGCCGACTCCACGCCCCGAAGTTACCAGCAGCCTCCTGAGCTCCAGCTAAGAAGCTGCTCCACACTCACCCGTAAAGGGGCTGAGATGCATCTTGTTCAACCCACCCAAGCCCTAGGACTGGCTACTCTCCTGCCTTTGAGGTAGCACTCACCATTCTCACTTGAAAGACATAGTCTGATCACCCTGTCCCGCTGTGTGCCGGGCACTGTGGGCAGCGTCAACCCTCCTCCGCCGGCACGGACAAGTGGGCGGAGAGGTCTGAAGGAGGACACCCGCGGCTTTAGGTTAGCTTGTAGAAGTTTTTTTGGTGGGGAGAGGGGCACAAAATGTTTTTAAATCTTCTGTGGCAATTATTTCCCTTTTAAAATGGGAGGTTTTTGCATGGAAATCTGGATATCTACCTGTCTTTAGGAGAGAGGAAGGCCCAGGAACCCCGAGCCCTCATTCCCGGATAGCAACATTTTCGGGAGCTAAGGAGGGCCTGTCACTCTTAAGCCAGGATGCATCTCCGTGGAGACCCTGCTGCCCCCTGGCCGTGTCACCAAAATGTGCATTACTTGCCTGGCTTTGAGGGCATTTGAGCTTATGACCCGTGGGAAGGGGGGCACAGACACAGATGTCATGATGCAAGAAATGGCTGTAATTGCTGAATTTCGGCTGCCACAAGCCCCTGTACCTGCTGCATAGACAAATAACTGAACAGGACCTCAGGGCTCTTCATCCGGTACCTTTCAGCATCATTAAATTGAAGAGAAAATTGAAACAGTGGCTGGGATCTCTCTTTGATCTACAGCAAAGGGACGTGAATAACCATGTTTCTGGGGAGAGAGCTGATTAACACGGAACTTAGCAGTATTCCAGTAACAGCCGTTGTCAGGAACATTCATCGTAAATTAATTTCTAACCAGCTCCTGATTCCACAAATGAGGGGATGGTGAGTCGCCTGGCCACAGCCTGCCGGGAGGGGACAGCAGCTTGAGCTCTGTGGGCGCAAAGGCATATTTTTGGGGTGCAAAGTGAATGACAAGGAGTTATGCCATCAAAAGCCTCGTTGCAAAATACATTTTTTTAATCTATACAATCCTAAGAGCAGGGTTTTAAGTCTCTTAATGATTGTACAGATACTAACAATACAGAAGTCACATTTCTTCTTCTTGGCTCTATGCATAAATGCTTAGGTGACTCATCTGTCTTAATCTATGGTTGTGTGGCAAGATTTCTGACTTGTGTTTCATAGAAATAGTTCTAAACACCAAACCAGACAGAAACCGCAAAGCAGGCTGAGGAGACTCTGACGACGGTCAGGTATGAGGCATGTTTCTCAGTATGGTATCTGGGGCACCATAAACAAGTGATGTAACATATTTCAAAATGCTGTTAATGATAAATGTATACAATAATTATTTGTCGATTTAAAATGATAATAAGGTGATCCCAAAATACAATATCTTACAGAAGACACAAGTTTACTGTTCTTTTTTCCCCCTCATGTAGAGAATCCTGGCCTAGCAGGGCAGTTCTGAAACTCGCAGCATATGGCTACTACCTCTGGATCCAAAGTGGCTGCTTTAGTTCCCACTATCACATCTACATCCCAGACAGTAGGAAGCAAAGAACCAGGGAATACATATTTAGTCTTTTTAAAGGAAAGGCCTAAGTAGCACATGAATTGCTTCTAACATCACATTGGCAAGAGCTTGTTTGCAGGGTGGCTTCACTGAGATCCAACAGAGACTAGGAAATGTAATCTTCAGCTAGGTATCCATGGGCCCAGCTAAAATTTGGGGGTTAACTTATTAAAGAAAATATGAGAGCCGGGTGCCGTGGCTCATGCCTGTAATCCTAGCACTTTAGGAGGCCGAGGCAGGTGGATCACAAGGTCAGGAGATCAAGGCCATCCTGGACAACATGGTGAAACCCCGTCTCTAACTAAAATACAGAAAACTAGCCAGGCATGGTGGTGGGTGCCTGTAGTCCCAGCTACTCAGGAGGCTGAGGCAGGAGAATCACTTGAACCGGGGAGGTGGAGGTTGCAGTGAGCCGAGATCACACCACTGCACTCCAGCCTGTGCAACAGAGTGAGACTCCACGCTCCATGTCAAAAAAAAAAGAAAAGAAAAAAAAATATGAGACAGGATTGGCATTTAGTCAGTTTTACCCTGGAGAGAGGAGACCTTGAATTGTTTTAAAAAGTTCAGGATGCCATCCTTTCTGTGCACAACCTGGTACGTAGCGCAATATGAACCGCTGGAGAACAGGCTGGAGGAGCATTCATGATGAGTTAAGGCTCAGATGATCCCCAGTGTAAGAACAGATGCGTGAAAACACGTAGCAGAGCACGGGCCGAGTATCCCTTCCCCAAAACGCTTGGAACCAGAAGTGTTTTTGATTTGGGATTTCTTTCAGATTTCAGAATATTTGCATAACACTTACTGGTTTAGCATCCCTGATCTGAAAATCCAAAATCTGAAAGGCTCCATTAGAAACTTCCTCGGAGCATCACGTCAGCATTGAAAAAGTTTCCAATTTTGGAGCATGATGGAGCTCAGATTTGCGGATCAGGAGATGTTCAACTGGGCTTCAGACCATGGGCTCTGGAACCGGAAGCCTGGTTCTTGAGCACGGCTTCACTGCTACCGTGTCGCAGTTCGATCTTAGACAAGCTGATCCGCCTTTCGGTGCCTTTGCTTTCTGTTTGTAAAAATGTGGTGGGGTGCCGGTGGGGACGGCGGCTGATTGCACCTGGCTCACGCGATATCATGAGAAGTGGGTAACACGATGCTTGCAAAGGTCATAAAATTGCACCTGGCCTCAGTCCCATCCTACCTGTGCCCTGGCCAGTGGGAAAGAGGAAGGGAAAAGGAAGCTTACGCTTATTCTGGATAAATCCAGGTCAGTCACTCAGCCTCCCTCGAGGAGTGGGAGGCGTAGAAGTGGCACCTTAATACATTTTTTTTTTTAGATGGAATCTCACTCTGTCACTCAGGCTGCAGTGCAGTAGTGTAATCTCGGCTCACCACAACCTCCACCCCCCTGGTTCAAGTGATTCTCCTGCCTCAGCCTTCTGAGTAGCTGGGACTACAGGCACCTGCCACTGTGCCCAGCTAAGTTTTGTACTTTTAGTAGAAATGGGGTTTCACCATCTTGGCCAGGCTGGTCTTGAACTCCTGACCTTGTGATTCACCCACCTCAGCCTCCCAAAGTGTTGGGATTACAGGCGTGAACACTTTTTTTCCTTCTCAATATTCTGACAAGGAGGCAGGCTCTCTGTAATGGCTCAATTCACGTTCATGATAACCCCCTAATCATATCTTCAGAGCTGAATTCTTCTTGTTTGTGTCTGTTATTTTTATAGTAGTTACAGTAGTTCAGTGAAGTCTTTGCTAGTAAATGTCACCCTAAACTTAAAAATCACAACATCATTCTGCTTCTCTGAAACAATAGCTCCAGCTTCTCAGCCTCTGAAGCACTAGGATTTCAACATTAACGCAAGCGCTTAGAGGAAAAACTGCCACTGCATTTAGAAGCAGAGATCTCTTTCCAAAGCTCTTTAAATGTACAACGCTGAGAGCCCCAGAATCAGTTTAAATCAATGCAGAATGTGCAGAGAAGTCGACCACACTAAGCACCTGTCTACCCTCAGAGGGGTAGAGGGTCAGTAACACACTAGAAAAGGTCTCACATTCAGAGATAGAGATGGTCAATCATATGGTTATAAGTATCATCTTAATTCTGCAAAGAATTTTACTATGAATAAATTCCTTTGTTACACATCATCCTACAGTATTCGTTTTTTTTTTTTTTTTTTTTGAGAAAGTCTTTTTCTCTCACCCAGGCTGCAGTGCGGTGACGTGATCTGGGCTCATTGCACCCTCCGCCTCCCAGTTCAAACAATTCTCCTGCCTCAGCCTCCCAAGAAGCTGGGATTATAGGCACGCACCACCACACTTGGCTAATTGTTTTGTATTTTTTAGTAGAGACAGGGTTTCACCATGTTAGCTAGGCTGGTTTCAAACTCCTGACCTCAAGTGATCCGCCTGCCTCAGCCTCCCAAAGTGTTGGGATTACAGGCGTAAGCCACCACGCCTGGCCAATCCTACAGTATTCTTAGAACACTCCCATGTTATGGCGCTGGAATTATTTACTCCCAGGAACCATGTGTGACCAAACCAGAATTGCATTCCGGGCTACCTGTTCTCACTGTAGGGCCTTAGTGTGCAGAAGTGTTGAGGAGACAAACGCAGCTGGGAGCAGCGGCCTTCTTTATTCAAGATCTGATCGGTGCTTCCACTTGAACCAAATGCTTAGAATATCTGCTCTTCTGAATACTTTGGTTTGAGCCCAACTATCTCTATTTGAGATTTACAGAAAATGAAGTCAGTGGATGGCACAGAAGCCAGCTTGTAAGCAGTGGTAACATCTGGGATATTTAACCAGCGTGTAAGCAGTGGTAACATCTGGGATATTTAACCAGCGTGTAAGCAGTGGTAACATCTGGGATATTTAACCAGCGTGTAAGCAGTGGTAAGATCTGGGATATTTAACCAGCGTGTAAGCAGTGGTAACATCTGGGATATTTAACCAGCATGTAAGCAGTGGTAACATCTGGGATATTTAACAACTGGCTAAGTGGGTGCTCCCCACAAGGTGTGTCTCTGCATATGAGAAAGATCACATCTGCCTGAGATGGCAGAAAGAGTCATAAATTATATTTGGGGGTCTCTGGCCAAGGCACACCATTATACACGAACATCACACCTTTTAGTGATTCCAACAGAGTTTAATTCTTTATGGTTGCTTTCTCCCATCCTGTTCCCTCTTCCAACGTCGAAGCACTTGAAATCCTAGATGATTTCAAGAGCCCTGGAAACTGGAGCTATTATTTCAAAGAAGCAGAATGATGTTATGATTTTCAAGTTTAGCGTGACATTAACTCGCAAAGATTTCACCCACCTACAACAACCACTGCAGAAATGACAGACAGGAGCTTTGGAAGACCTAGTGACCGAGACCAGCCCGTGGCGATGCCACTGGCTGGCAGTTAGGGCTCACTCTGTGGGAAAAGCTCAATGTGAAATCCAGAAGCTACTCTCTCAGTGGAGGGAGCTCATTCTAGGAATGCTAAGTGCAAACTTAATATCCAAACAGGAGAAAGCAAAGCACATGTCCCACATCATGCGCTGGGCCACAAACAGACTCTAGTGGAGGCCACTGGCTTATTTTTAAGATAGTTTTCTTTTTCAATTTTTAAGTTAACTTTAAAAAATCCATTTTATTTTTATTTTATTTTATTTATTTATTTATTTAGAGATGGCGTATCGCTCTTGTTACCCAGGCTGGAGTGCAATGGCACGATCTCGGCTCACCGCAGCCTCAGCCACCTGGTTCAAGCAATTCTCCTGCCTCAACCTTCTGAGTAGCTGGGACTACAGGCGTGCACCACCATGCCCAGCTAATTTTTTTGTATTTTTGGTAGAGACGGGGTTTCACCATGTTGACCAGGATGGTCTCAATCTCTTGACCTCGTAATCCACCCGCCTCGGCCTCCCAAAGTGCTGGGATTATAGGCTTGGGCCACCGCGCCCGGTCCCATTTTATTTTTACTTAATGTTTTTCAGAATTATTTATTCCCATAAATACAGCAGATAAAAGACCCATGCACATGATTCTTTGAGTGCCTTAGGGCTAAGGTAAGCCCATTTTCAGCACCTATGCTGGCCATAGGTAGAAAGCCCGTATAATTTCCGTCCTTTTTTCTCTTCCTCTCATCATTGTTCTCTCTCCTTCCTTGGAAAGCACATACGTGAGGTCTGTTCCATTGAAAAGTGTATTCCTCCATTCCCTCCTCTCAGCGGGAAGTATCCCCTGAGTGAATCCAAGCCACCCTTTTCTGACCATCCTGGTCCTCTGGGAGGCTCACTCTGAAGTAGGGAGTGTTGAGTGTGAAGCAGAGGAATGTAATTCTCATGCCACCATCCACACGTGGTAAGTAAGCCACTCTACGCAAATGCCACGCTGAATGCACGCAGGCAATTTTCTCAGAGATGAACCACGACTTTCTGTCACATCCTCAACATCATCCACAGCCCCAGCAGTGGCCGACGAGGCTAAACATCCACCAGCAGAGTGAATTCTATGAGGCCTGAGGGTGTTTCTTTAGGCCCCGCTCAGTGGCAAATTTATTTTTGTTGCCATAGACATATCATGAACTTTCAGAATTATGAGATTTCATATTAAAATTCAACTTTCTTAATTCCCCGGCACCAGCCGGGATCCGTGGGCTCCTCTGGTGAAGACCACTGAGTACTGCTGTGTGTAGGCACTGTCCTGGGGGCCAGGATTGCAGCCATGAGCCACGCAGACAGTGCTCCGGCCTTCGTGGGGCCCTCAGCCAGGCTGGTCATCCTCAGCCTGATGTCCTTCTAGCTCCATTAGCATCAGACTCTGAGAACCACTACAGCTCCAGAAGTCCCCTGTCAACTCTGCCACTGCAAATGCAAACATCGAACCCAGGTCCCCAGACCAGACTCTGGGTTTGAGGTTTGCATGCACACAGCTTTAGGACTTGGGCTTTCTCATGGTAAAATGGAAATCATAAAATGTACCTCTGGGGGATTTATAAGGATTAAGATACCCTGAGGATCACCGAGCGCACAGTAGATGCTAAATCAATATTATTGCTTGACTGCAATCACCATCGTTCCCTCACTTCCCACATTTGTCAACGAGCACAGTATGCACGAAGCCAAGTAACTTTTAGAAACCACAGGGTCTGTTTAGATTTACAGCTTCCTCCATGTGGTGTTCATGTGAGGGCCTTTGAAACGCAGGCCGGAAAGAGCCCCAGCCAGGAAGCAACTCCCACGGGTCTCCAACCACCAGCCTCTACCACTGTAAGAAAATCAATTTGTGTTGTTTAAGTCACTTGGTCCATT